AAGATATAATTTTATTATCAAAACTAAAACAATTTGATACAATTTTGAGCAAAAAAAAAAATTAAGATTGCATGGTTTTAAGAGAGAAGAAAGAAGAGACAATTTAAACCATAGATCTATCATTCAAAGGCTAGAAATAATTATGGTGATATGGCTTAACGAGAGAAGAGAGAAACAACATTAAATACACTTAGTGAGGATGAACTATATAAATATATAGGATACTCCTACATTTACTATGGCTAATTATGATGTTGTTGCCACTACTAGAAAAATCATTTATTGCCACGAAAGAAATCGTGGCATCAATACTAAAATTGTGGTAATAGATACATGTTGCCACAATTGTAAAATCGTTGCTAGCCGTGGTAATAAACAACGTGGTAATAGGTTATTGCAACGATTTTTATTTTGTGGTAATAAATTTAGATGTTGCCACGGAATGGATGTGGCAAAAAGTCATATTGCAACACTTCACAGCGTTGTAATAAAAATTATTGCCACCACTCCATATGTGGCATTAGTTTTACGTACCAAATTAAAAGTTTAAATATTAATCTATCATCCTATCTATTTGTATACTTATTTTTTTGATTTTGTGTCTTGGCTAAGATTCAAACCCAAACCTATCCTTCACGCGTGCTCTCCTTTACCAACTCATCTACGTATCAATTTTGTTGGAAAATGCATATCGTTCCATTTGAGCCTAGCTAAATGAGATTTGAATCATAGATTTGAATATCTAAAAGATTTCAAATGAAAAAGTTATCACCTATAAAATTGTAGATCTCGTCGAGAGCTATAATTTCCATATAAAATTTGTCTCAATCCGTGTCCATATGAAAAAATTAAGTTAAATTATGAGACGACAATCTTTTTATTGCAACGAATTTGTTGATCGTGGCAACAAAAAATAGTGAAAAGTACCATGTACTATATAAATTGCCACAAAAATTAAAATTGTGGCGATAGAACATGTTTTTTTTGCAACAGTACGATTTTTTGTGGCGATATCTTATTTTCTATTGCAACAAAAGTACGAAATAAAACAACGATTATAGATCGTTGCAATAAAAAATAATTATTTGCCACAGAAAAATTATCATTGCAATAGTATAATATATTGCTACGAATTATTTTTTTGTTGCAATAATTTGGTGGCAATAGCTCAATTATCTTGTAGTGTGCTTCGTACGCATTTGATCCCTAACAGAAACAACGAAATTATATGAAGTACTCTATCAGTTCTAAAATAAATAAAATATGATATATTCTCTGTCTATATTCATAATACTATAATGTGTCACTTTCATAATAAATTTGTTTATTTTAAAATGAAAAGGTTAGTATATATAGTACTTAATATGCAGCCAGCCGTAGGTAGTGATGGTATGTAAGCCTATCCTGAAAGATGTATATATAAAAGCTAAAACAAAACCGCAGCTGAAAATTCAACGCTCACTTTAGCTACACACGCTGGGGGAGTAGGCTGTCAAATTGCAGCATTATCATTATCTTTTGGGATCTATCGATCTATCTATCCATATATCTATATATATTTTTTGATCTCCTATATATTAATTACTATGGCAAGCAAAAACTCCTCCACTACTTCTAACAGCGACAGATGCTACACATATACTCCCTCCGTTAATATAAGGGATTTTGAGTTTTTACTTGTAACATTTAACCACTCGTCTTATTAAAAAATTTTGAAATTATTATTTATTATTTTATTATCTACAGTACTTTAAGCACAAATTTTCATTTTTTATATTTGCAAAAAAAATTTGAATAAGACGAGTAAAAAAATTTAAATAAGACGAGTGGTCAAACGTTGCAAGCAAATACTCAAAATCTCTTATATTGTGGGACGGAGGGAGTATAAAACTCCACTTCCTTTACATGCAGATATAAACATGTACGCATGCATATTTAGTTCAAGAAAGAAAATAAAATCTATACTATCCAGACACACAGGATCAATTGGTTAGATTCCTTGTGATAAAACCATCCTATCCGAAATAAAGTTATAAACTTAACACGGGTGGTCGCACACACACGTTTACAACTAATTATTTTTTTAAGTGGTAGTTAAGTGACATATCTGTTGCTACCGAAGTATCCGTTTATGATGACTTTATCAATCTTAAAATATACCGGTACAGTATTTTGGAGGTGCTCATAAAACATAAAAAACCTATAGCTAAGCCAAAAGAAAAAAAAAGAAGCAAATATATGTATACAGTTGATCGATCGTGTTGCACGGAAAGTTCGAAACTTAATTAAAGACGCACCCACTAAATTCGGCAGTATACATATACAAATCGTCCACAATGTACATGCGTGTACACTGGGCCTACCTCTACGACCTGCACTTTGTTAGTATTATATATTGAAGAAAGTTGTACGACTAGTGTACGTATGCGACAACGCAGCGGCCACCACACAGCTGGAGTATATATACGAAATGTAGGAATTAACGTACGCCTACGTCAGCATCCAATTAAATTCATCCGAGACGAAGAAGCGGATGCCGGCGCCGGTGGATCCGGAACCGCCACGGCGCCAGCTGTCCACGGCGGCGGCGGCGGGTGGTCTGGTCAGTGCGGTGCTTTCCGCGTGTCGTCCCCGCCGGCATTTGGAGCTGCCGGTGTGGTCGCGCGTTGCACCAGTGGTGCCAGGAGAGGGAAATCATTGATTACATCTGTTTGTTGGTTCTGGTAGGTAACTGAAACAAATGCTATTTGCAAGGTCTGTGAAGGTCAAGTATAGGCTAACGACATGGTGTGAGATTTAGGTTTAGTGTAGTGCAAAAAATGAAGTTTTGTGACGTGAGCATTTATATTGATAGTTGTTATAGAGGCTAAAAGCTAATCACAACATATATGCAGATTGTGGACAGTCCTAAATAGCAAAATGTGTCACATGTTTGATGGCAGGATAGACAGTACATAGTAGTTTTATAGTGGTAGCATTGAAACAGTTCTGCTAGATGAGCACATAGGAGTATAGGACTATAAAACTATATTACACATGGCTAAATTCTACTAATATGGTTTGGATGCCTTCACCGAATTCACACAGGGGCCCTTTTGTTGATGTGCAAATGGAAGTGCAATATTTTTTGCTATGATGAATTGCTTCCCCCGTGTACATAGCTGCCTGAGAAGTGATGCAAAAATACAATTTTTTTTATCAATACTGGCAGTCAATAATCTTATGGCATTGAACTACTCAACAATATTAGAACAATTAAGCATCCTTGTTTCCTAGTAATGTTCTTTTTCTGAATGTGAAAAAAGCAAGTTAACATAGTTGTTTTTTGGTATATATTCAGATTGTAAGAATCAAAGAAGCAATTGCCGATGTCAAGTAATCTGTGAATGAATTAACTGAAGGACCACCAGCAGGTACAAATTTAGCCCAATGTGAGGAAATTAATTAAACATCTCAAATAGCAGGGGGGGCACAAAAAGGTACCAACCAAAAGCAAAGTAATGATTTATCCATACTAAAAAAACAAACAGGTAAACAATCCAAACTGTTTTCAGTAATTTTCTAATAATCAGGTATGTGAACCAAATAATGCACACAGCAGCATATTTATTCAGCAAAGAAAGTTGGAATGGACGGTATTGTAGGATTGTAAAGGTCAATATGTCAAGTTAACCTATTGGTTTCTGGTTGTACATCTTTTACATAGATTATAAAAGGTATGTGATTTTAATACCTAAATCATAGCAAGCACAATAATTTTATGAGCAGATACTATCAGTATGTTTAAAGGAAGAGGGTGAAAGTGCAAGTTAGTCAAATAATACATAACTTAGTTAAAATGGGATTTTAACCTACAGGGCAGCGCTCATCGTCCTAAACTGAAGCTTTATCATCCTAAACCAATAGTTATATTATCAAGAGTCCTGAAAAACCACTTCTATGGCAAGAGCAAATAATAACATTAGTCGTTTCAAAGAAAACTTCAATTTTAGAACCCTAATCAAGCCAATCTTTTATATGCTAGTCTAAGCATTACCTAATCATCACATATTAAATAAAAAAGGGCATAAATATTAGAAGCATTAGGTAGAAGATTCAAAGTGAGCTGCAATAAAAACTGGATGCATCCAATGTAGAACATGAGAAGCATCTGAAGGACAAGTCAGTTACATTTGTAAAATATCATAGGCATTACTGAATGCAAATTAGAAAACAATGTAACATCATTTTTTTTATATCAAGTTAAATTCTGTTGCACATCGTGGGGATGTCATGATAATTTAATATGTTCAGAGTTAATGTCTATTATGTCATAATAATTAATTTTTTTTATAGAGTTACCAATCTTCAGCTATAACTTGCAACAGAATTCTTGTTCACAAACAACCAAATTATAGAACTAATATATGCCTATTTGGTAAACAGATAATCAACTAAATTTTCACTTCCGTAAAGAACATGTCAAATATAATTTAAACGGTGAACTCAAGGTAGGCAACGAACAACGATCAGCCAAACTGGTTGCCAGTGGTGCCATTTCTCCTCGTGGAGGATGGCACCAATGCAGGCATCCTTTGTTCTGATCTACTATGTTGTGTGCACCTGGAGTCTTGGCGTGTTAAGGCAGGCATCAGCCTATCATAGCCTAGTTTTACTACTGAAACCATTGCACCAGCTAAAGCCTACAAGAATAAGAGAAGTGGACAGCTATGCCAGTCCTTTGATCTTGCACCAATCCATCATGTTTTCTTTGGTTCTTCTAATATTATTCGCAAAGCAATAATGTAATCCATTGTAATGCAGCAGCTGATTGGCGTTGGGAAGATTAGATAGCTTAGAATAGAATTGAAGCTATAGATGGATTGTGCAACAAATTGAGATAAATTGATTTTCTATTGTTAGGCGCCGGCCCTAAGTGGCATAGCGCGTAGCTGTGCTCGACGGGAGGGCGAGGACGCACGCCTCACCTCCCCGGAGCCGTGGTGGAAACTAACAGGAACTGGGATTAACTTCTTTCTTGATTAATCACTTAAACCGAATGGCCTATATAGGCTTACAATGGAAAACCAAACAGCTACTAACCAGGAACTAACAACTTAATCTTCCTAACAAACTTAATCACTGAAACTAATCCTAACAACTTGATCCAACATCACGGCGCCTGCTCTGGCTGTTGGCGTCGGTTCCGGCGCTGATACTGAATGCCCCACATAACATCTATAGTGCAAAAAGAGCAGACACATAGCGAGCTTTAGTAATCACATCCAAAAATAATACAGAGAAAATTACAGTTCATTAATTTATTTTTGGTGCAACAGTAATATACAGTTCTGATCCAGACCTATATAACCTTTATCAAATGCACTTGTATATTTTTGGTACAACAGTAATATATAGCAGCAGTAGTAGTGATTAGTGTGATTAGTGTATACGTTTAGTCTCAGATTCTGCATGTAAAAGATCATCTAATGTCAAGTTACAAACATGCTCGTTATAAATTAATTTTATAGAAGTCACTACCTTCAAGGGGCATAATTAGTAATGAACAAACTAAAAATGCAAAGCCACAATCTATTTTGATGAAGATGCATGACTACATTTGGATGGAGCATTATCAAATTATTATCCACAAAAAATATTGTACATTGCTATATTTTGCTGGAACAAATCAGCATACTCATACTTCAACAAAAGATATATCAATTTCTTATACTTGGAAACAAAGAATCTTATGCATTAACTCATTTGTAATTTAAAGTCATCAGCATGCTACAATGGATCGTAGATGAACCCCTTAAAGAAATGCACAGCCAAATTGACAGCAACACTACCAAAGCAAAGCTCGCCGCCATCAAAGTGGGGTCATATTCGGTGGAGATGCAACCTGGTTGTGGTGGCAGATGACCTTAGATGCTGTGCCAGAGGACCAGTAGGGCAGCACGGCCGTGACGCAAGGGGATGGAGGTGGCAGCATCCTCTAGGAACCCCGCGCCGATGCCCTTCTCTGCTTTGCGTAAGCTCAACAAAGCTTCACTACAAGCTGCATTCACACGCTCACATTCATAGTGTTACACTGATTTAAACTTGCAAAGAAAAATTCAATACACATATCTTCATCGGTCCAAATTAATCACAGTATCACACTAAGACCACCAACTTGACAAAGATATAACATGCAGTATGAAATTCCAGAGGAAACTTTCCTCTCCTCACCTCCTTCCAAAAAGGCAGAAGAAGAGGTAGGATGGAGCTGACGAGGAGCCCTCCATGCGGCAGATCCAGCAGCACCCGCCGTACTGGAGACCGCCGCTGTCCGAAACGGGACACCAATGCCACAGATCATGCAGCTCCCTCTCCAAATCGGTTCACCGACCTCCTGGATCCAGTGATTCCCCGTCTCCTCGACGTCCCACACGCACGTCCGTGGCCGCCTAATCGCAGGCATCCGCTGATCCGGAAATGAACAGGATGGAGAGGGAGAGGGAGAGGGAGAGAGGGGCAGTGCCGGGCATAGAGGTAGAAGAGTAGAAGGCGGCTCCTAGCTTCCCCTCGCTTTAGGGCTGCCGGATCTGCCGGCGAGGAGGCCGGAGTCACCGGATCCGACAGTCCCGGCCTCCTCGTTGGCGGATGCGGCGCGGGAGCGAGAGGATGGTGATGGCAGGACGACGGCGCGGCGACAGCAACAGCTCGCAGTAGGGAGTGCGCGGGGGAGGTCGCCAACTGCGGGAAGAAGAGGATGAGGGGACGGCACGCGGCGGCGGCCGTCGCTTGGGCAGGAGAGAGAGCGGAGCGAGAGGAGAGGAGGCAGAGGAATGGTGGCGGCTAGGGTTTGGGGAAAGGGGTGAGGGTTGCAAAAACAACCCCTAAACTTCTAGTTTTCAGAGCGCGGTTCAATTTTCCGTTTTTTCGCTTCTTCATATAGAATATTGTTTTCTTAAGAGGTCCTCTAAGTAAGAGCGCACAACGTTAGAACTAAGGACCAGGGATCTATAACAAATTATCAAGTAAATGAAGGGTGTTTTTGCAAAATCACCAACGACGACACGGACGTGCGAGAGCTCACGAAAACCACCCGCCATCCAGCGCCTCGCTGACGCGTCGGCACGCGCAGGTGGCCACGCCAGCTCAAAAATCTCCAGGAGCCGCAAATCTCGGCAGGTTTGTATATAAGCGATATGCATCTTCCACACTACCAACCATAGGTCCACTACACCCAGCTGAAACATACATATGCAGCCTCGCAGAAATGTCGTCATAGCAGGACTAATTAGTAAGTTCTGAAAAAAGAAGAAGCAAAGATTAGTAAGGTGGTGTTGGGATTCAGGGACTAAATTTTAATCCCTGGACATCGAATATTTGGACACTAATTAGTTATTAGAAGTATTAAACATAGACTAATAATAAACCCATTCCATAACTCTGAACTAATTCGTAAGACAAATCAATTGAGCCTAATTAATCCATGATTAGCCTATGTGATGCTACAATAAATATGTGCTAATTATGGATTAATTAGGCTTAAAAAATATGTCTCGTGAACTAGCTCTCATTTATGCAATAAGTTTTATTATTAGTCTACGTTTAGTGCTTCTAATTAGTGTACAAACATCCGATGTGATATGGACTAAAATTTAGTCCATAGATGCAAACACCACATAAGTCCCGCAGCACTTTGCATCCGAGATTCACGCATGTACACACAGGTTATGGTATTGAAGCACCTAAACATTAGTTTCATATTTATCTAAAATAAGAACAAAATGATTCATCAAAATATTATGAATCGGGAGCTGTGTGGCCTACGCACGTTACACAAGTTATGGTATTAGAAAATTTAAGGGCCATTTTGAATTGCAGGAATGAAAAAAATAGAGAAATATAAAAAATGTAGGATTTTGATAGGAATGCAAGTACAAAGCAGAAGATTATAGAACACAGGAAAAACACGTTTGATTAGACCATAGAAAAAACACGCGAAATGGATGAGAGATAGGGGCAGCATGGGTGGCACCCAGCTCCCTAACCTCTACCACCGTCGTTTCTCCATCCCTCTTCCTACTCCGCTATCCAAAGCAGCCTGTTGGAAGACCAACGAGCATCAGACTTCCCATCGGCTTAGCACCCTCTCCCTTTGAGGAGCTCTGCCCCTCTTTCTATAGGGAGCTCCATTGGTATAGTGAAGGCAACAATCAATTATTAAGGGAAGGCTTGGGCTGCCGAGATGATATCACCCAATTCCAGGCTCTCCTTGGTCAGATCCATCAAGTAGCCTCGTGGGCGGTGAGGCAGAGGAGGCTTGAGACAGTGCCCGGGGTGCAAATGGTAGTCTAGTCGTACACAGAACTGGAAGTCTGCTGACGAAGAGGTGTTGGTCCGGTGTGGTAGGCCATGCACTACCAATGTTTTGTTGGTGTGGTACCTAAGATGATGGGCAACGGATCGCGGCAACTGGGTTGCAAGGGTTCCAGGACAAAGCCTAGCATAACAATTCACTAGGCTGATAGCGGCTACGCTTTCGAGCACGTCAACCCACCCGGGGACATTGTCAAGATAACTCTTTCCTCCCTCTCTAGGCGAGAATATCTAGGTGAAAATCATGTCCATTTTCTTGGACGGGCGGCAATAGTGTCCTTGGCGTTGCAACCTCCGTGGATGTATCGTTTTTTAAGACTCCGCTTTGTGGTGCTGCTGTAGATCGGGTGTTGATATAGGCAACGCATAGTGCAGCGGCTAGGTGTTAGGTTCCCCTCTCCGTGGCATGTGTATGTGTGGTTGGTGCATGTGCGTGGTTCCTTGATGTACAATCTAGTGTATAACCAACCTAACTGTCTTTTATGGATCATAGTGTTTTGTTTGTGTAATTTTGTTCCCTCAATTCTAATAACATGGATGCTCAGAGAGCACGATCATAGACCAAATCTATGGTCAGCTAGCTATTGCTCTAATTATCGGTATGCATATATTAATTCATAAAGTCATAGTTTACATATATTTGCATGCTGATCGGTCATGGTGCTACCTAGCTAGAAGTGCAGCCGTTCATATATATGTTGCATGCAAATTAAATAAAAGCAGCCGCCAATGCAAGCACTGATTACATCGGAAAGATGTCGCACTACTATGCCATCGATTCAGATATTAACAATAATGCAAGATATGAATTACGCATGGTTTAGTGAGCCTGCACGATCTATGAACACGCGCGCACATAAATTATTACTCATCACTCTGCAATCGATCGTATCTGTAGATAGTTACAGTAGTTAATTGGCACAATGCAACAGGATGAACAGATAGATAGCAACGTTGTCCGTGGATCGACACGAGAGGCCAAGTTTCTGATATTTTTCTGGTCCGGATTGGATCAAAGTACTCTGTCGATCGATATATCAACAAAAGCCACTTCTACTCGCAACTCTGGAAATTGTGAGCCATTTCTTTATGTTTCTAAAAAGAAGTGTTCATATTACTACCTCTATATTTTAATATATGATACTGTTGACTTTTTATCCAACGTTTGACCATTTGTCATATTTAAAAAATTTATGTAATTATCATTTATTTTATTGTGACTTGATTCATCATCATATGTTCTTTAAGCATGACATAAATATTTTCATATTTGCATAAAATTTTTGAATAAAACGAATGGTCAAATGTTGGCCAAAAAGTCAACGGCGTCATACATTAAAATACGGAGGGAGTAGTATATATACTTTCATATTATTTGATGTGAATTGATGAATATCTTTAATTTTATCTGGACAGAATATGAGAGGCATTCACAAACTTGCAGTGGTACACTGCTACTTGATCAATCCCTTTTGTGTCACTGATCAACAAAACTGATAGAGATCATGATCCAATAAAAGATTCGATTGATCAGTAGTCGCTCCAGATCGACCTAGCTAGCTAGCATACATAAATTACGGTGAGGAAAAAAGAAGAGGAAAAGGATTAAAGTTAATTATTCCATGGGCTACTTTGATAACAGGAGAGGGACTGGGCAGTGAAAGTGAGATATTATTTCAGGTTGTCAAGTAATGCAGGGTGGCCACGCATGCAGTACGTGGATTTATCTGAGATCAAACGGTTAATTGGTGGCTTAGCAAGCTTGGTGCTTGCCCGGTCGGCATCACAATTCATTTCTCCGTTTGTTTAATTTTGTCTTTTGCAAGAGTCCAAATCAATAAGAATGTTGTAACAAATCAGACTCAATAATCTACCCAAAAATCAAACTCAACCTCACGTATAGGCTTGTCGGAACAGATTAGACGTTCTCATTAACATGCATGATAAATCCAATTGTGTACGCCTCTATCTATCGACAAATCAAATTCAACCTAGTGTATGATAAAGCATGTCGGAACAGATGTGGCGTCTCAACAAAACACATGCTAATAAATCCAATTATGTACGGCTCTATGTATTTATCCATGCATTGCAGATATGACAATTGACATGTAAGATGTAACCAAAAGCAATGAGGTCGAGCTTTATGTGTACAACATTGAATGATTTATCTGATGCACACTTTGGTTTTGTGACTCTGATTAGTTAGCTGGCTAACTCCGATTGCATGTGTGGTTACAACCTCGGTACAGTCTCATTGTCAATCTATTGGAGAAAGAACAATTAATGTGCTTTAATTTCTGACAAAATGATACTCCCTCCGTATTTTAATGTATGACGCAGTTGACTTTTTAACCAACGTTTGACCATTTGTCTTATTCAATTTTTTATGCAAATATAAAAATGCTTATGTCATGCTTAAAGAACATTTGATGATAAATCAAATCACAATAAAATAAATAATAATTACATAATTTTTTTGAATAAGACGAAAGGTCAAACGTTTATTAAAA